GGCAGGAGCAAGATGGGAAGACTGGGCACGAGGAGGTCTGGGGAAGAAGCATAAAGATAGATCTGTGAAAGTGGACACAAAGCATAAGCGTTTTTGTTTCACAAGTTACAGACCACCTGTGAGTATCCACCATGGAAGGTGGCATTAGACAAGCAAGTGGACAGATGACTTGGCCATGTTGGCCAGTCTCTGTCCTCAGCCATTCCAGGACTTGCCAGGGACTCATGGGAGAGTAGCCATGGTGACGGGCATACAGCATGGGCTCCCCTCACCAACGCTGATCTAGCTGCCATCACTGTTGAATGTCTGATTGTATTAGGTTGAATAGTGTCTCCCCAGAATTCATGTCCACTCCGAATTTCAGAACGTGATAAGGTCTTTGAAAGTGTAATAAGTTCAGATGAGGACATGCTGCATTAGGATGGTGTTAATCTAATATGACTGGTGTCCTTTTAAGAAGAGACACAAAGACACAGAGGGGAGACGGCCATGGGAAGATGGAGGCAGAGACTGGAGTGATGCAATCACAAGCCAAAGACTGCCTGGGGCTACCAGAAGCTGCAAGAGGCAAGGAAGGATCTTCCCCTAGAGTGTCCAGAGAAAGCATAGCCCTGGTGACACCATGATTTTGGATTTCTAGCCTCCAGAACTGTGAGAGAATAAATTTCTGTTGTTTTAAGCCACCCAGTTTGTAGTAATTTATCACAGGAGCCCTAGGAAACTAATGCACTAATCTACCAGCAACAAAAACCAATGAAGAACCCTTGACATTCCTGAAAGAGACCAACCAGCCACCTTGGACAGGGCCATTTCAGCCTAACCAGAACTAAAGCATATTCCAGGTATGAGTTTGCCTTTCCAGCAGTGCCTCAGCCAACATTACTATCCCAGGGCTTACAGACTTTAATCCACTGATGTAGAATCCCATATAACACTGCATTGGACCAGGGGATCCACTGTATAGCAAAAGAGGAACATAAGTGGCACAAGGCCACGGGATCCACTGGTCCTACCACATACTAGATCATCCAGAAACTGCTGGCCTGACAGAGCTGCAGAAGGGCCTCCTGAAGGTGCAGCTGAGATGCTGCATAGAGATAACATCCACAAGGATGGGATGGTCTCCTTCAGGAGGATGCAGAATACACCTTAAAACAGTGGTCATTATGTGGTACTGTGCCTGTGAAAGGGAGAATATACAGGTCCAGGAACCAAGGGTTGAGAGGAGGAGTGGCCCCAATCACCATCACTCCCAGTGATCCACTTCGGAAATTTGTGTTTCTATTCCCCCACAAATATAGGCTCTGTAAGTCTAGAAAACCTGAGTCCCAGAATGGGTAGCAACCCCAGGGGAGACACTAAGAGTCCTGCTAAACTTAAACTATGACTGCCACCTTGGGTTCCTTGAGCCAGTAGTGCAGAAGGCAAAGAAGCGTTATCATGCTGGTGGGGAGATTGGATGAGTGGATGGATGGATGGATGGATGGATGGTGGGTGGATGGATGGATGGATGGATGGATGGATGGATGGATGGATGGATGGGAGGATGGGTGGATGGATGGATGGAAGGATGGATGGGAGGATGGATGGATGGTAGGTGGATGGATGGGAGGATGGATGGATGGATGGGTTGATGAGTGGGTTTATGAGTAGGTGAGTGGATGGATGGATGGCCGGACAGACGGATGGATGGATGGATGGAAATGGCGGAACTATTGTAGCTTGGGGGACTTTGAGACTGGGGTCATCACACCTGACAGTGCTTCCTTGAGCAACACCTGGGCCCTTTGTTTGAAAAGGGCTGGGTGGAACATCCCACTTCCAGCAAGAGCCCAGAGGCGAACCATCTCAAAGCACTTTGGGGAATCAGGCAGTCAAAGTATTTGAACATGATGGGATACAAATCTGCCCATGCCACTCTCCCAGCCACCTCTGAGACTCTCCTCATTCTGTCTTCTCATCCCAGGGGAGCCGGAGCAAGCAGAGAAACCAGTTGCTGCCACCTGGAAGGTCTTCGACTCCAAACTCCACCCAGCAGACAGGAAAGCTTCAGGACTCAGGATTCCACTTGGAGGACACCGTTCCTTCCCTCCATGTCCCACCTGTGACAGTTAAAGTGTGTGTCAACTTGGCTCGGCCATGATTCTCAGTGGTTTGGCAATTATGTAATGATGTAGTTTGGCAGTTATGTAATGATGTAATCATCCTCCATTTTGTGGTCTGATACAATCATCCCTCATTTTGTGATCTGATGTGAGCAGCCAATCAGCTGAAAAGGAAGTTTCCTTGGAGGTGTGGCTTGCATCCAATATATATGGATGTTCTGGCAAAGCTCACACACTCTGGGTCCTGCATCTGACTCATCATCCTCTGACTTCTGGTTCTTGGGACACGAGCCAGCAGCCTTCCACTGACCTGCAGATTTTGGGATTCACCAGCTTCCACAGCGCTGTGGGTCAGCAGCCTGTTGTCTGACATGCCAGTTTGGGTTTGTGAGCCCCTGCAACCACATGAGTCAGGGGAAGCCGCCAGCCTGATGCCTGACCCACAGATTTGGGACTTGCCAGCCTCCGCAACTGCATGAGCCATCTCCTTGAAGTAAACCTGTGTGTGTGTGTGTGTGTGTGTGTGTGTGTGTGTGTGTGTGTGTACGTGTGTGTATATATATGTGTGTGTGTATATATATGTGTGTGTGTATATATATGTGTGTGTGTGTGTGTGTGTATATATATGTAGGCTGGGTTCGCTAGAGGAGCAGAACGCTGCACTGGTTTTGCTCCTCTGGAGAACCCAGCCTATGATTCCACCCAACACCCAGAGACACGGCACAGGAAGAGACAGTGCGCGGACTTTTCTTTTTATAAAGACTTTATTGTCTAACATGCTTGACAAAAAAAATTACAGCCACAATCAAGTTATGCCAAAATGATTGAGGAGCACGCCATAATTTTTCATCCCTCAAGGACTTTTAATGAATTTTCTCTTAAAGTAACAGCTGCCTTCATAACTTTTCTTTTCCACATAAAAATACACCATATTCTGAAGATACCTTAGGAAAATTTTTTTTTTAAGTTTATAGTTCTTGGTCCACATAGAAATTCAGTGGAGGCAATGCTAAAAGGGCCTGGTGTTTTCTCCACCCCGAGCGTGTGCACACATGCGGGGTGAGCCTGGCGGAGGGGGGGGTCCCAAGAGACCATGTAAACATCCTGGCTCCCAGGAACCACCTTGGCCAAAACACGATTCCTGGCCCTGCATCCACACAGCAAAGCTGGCCTCGGCCAACACAGTGCCTCGGGATGGTACCCTTGGAGGGGAGGCTCACCATGAGCAGGGAAGGAGTCTCCCAGGATGACGGGATGCTGGGGTCAGAGACCAGGAGTCCTCATGGCTCCAGGGCTTTTCTATGAGAAAGGAACCAGAGCAGGTTTGGGACAGGACCCTTAAAAAAAAAAAAAAAAAAGATCCTTTTGGACCATGCCCGCAGCCTCGTAGGGACAGAGCTTGGGGTGGTGGCCAAACTGAGGATCTGGAGCCAGAGACCGAGGTTCAAATCCTGGCTCTGCTCCTTTTGTGCTGTGTGCCCTAAGGCAAGGTACCTCACCTCTCTGGCCTCAATCTCATCTCTAAAGTGGGGGCAACCTAGTCCAACTACACAGGACTGTTTGAGGGTGAAATGAGATTACATCTGCAAATGGGCTTGTTAAATGCTGGTTCCCAGGGCTGGGGCTAGGGTGTGGCGAGTGAAGCACCCCTTTCAGGTATAAAATTTAGGAATCAAGGTACTTAACACAATTTTAATGCAATAGGTTTAAAATTAAAATTAATGTCAAAAAAAAATCCATGATGAGCAAAATACCACACTTTTCAATACAGAATCTGACCCTGGCCTGGCCCAACCCTGCCTCACTCACCTCACCCTAATCCCAGCCCTTCTGGTTCCCTTGCAGAGATTAAACCCAACCTGCTGTCCTGATTTAAAGACAAGAAAGCCAAATCCATCAGAGTGGGGCTGCTGGAGCCCAGGGCTGCTCTGTCCCAGGGCCACCCTCCTGCTACCTGGGCCAAGGCGGATTTTGAGCCAGTTATCCTTCCTCAGCTGTGGGCATGCCTGACAGAATCTGAACAGTATGGGGGAAATAGAACCGAGGAACGGAATCCTGTTTGGGGACAGTAATGAGAAGCACAGGGCACGCCTCATTCAATTAAAGTGTGTGTGTGTGTGTGTGTGTGTGTGTGTGTATCACACGCATGCAGGTGCCTCTGTGTGGCAGGGCTGCCGCTGCCGCGGCCTGCAGACCGCCCCCCAGATGTTGTGTTCTGCAGAGCTGTGCCGACCCCCACAGGGCACTCTGGAGGCCTCCAGCCAGTCCTGGGCACCCAAATGGCTCGTTTTGTACAACTGTCCCCTGAAATCCAGGCTGCAGGGGTGTTCCTGGGACACTCAGGCCATTGTTCAAGTCAGCAAAAATGCCCACAGGAAGGAAAGGGGAAATGACGTGAGGCCAACCACTGGCCTGGCCAGGTGAGGCCCGGCTTCCTGAGATGTCCCTGAACGCCCCCTCCCGCCGAGGGGCTCAGCCTCTAAGCAGGCTGAGAGGAGGAGGACTGTCTGAGCCCAGGCTACAAAACCTCCCGCCACCCCCCAACCCTGGGGCTCCCAGCCACACAGACCCTCGGTTAGAGGCAAGTTTTGTGCGAGAACTTCCAAAACCTGTCCCAGGTGGCCCACGGGCAGCGGCTTCTTGAACCCATGAGGGTGTCCAACTGGAAGGCTGAGGATTCAGTCATCTCCCAAGCAAGGCGGGCCATGAGCTGGTTAGTCCTTTAAGGAGGTACACACAGGATGTACACGCAGAAAACGGTGATGCTTGCGGAACCCTGACGGGGCCGTGCAGGGTCCCAACACCAGGGGACAGAAGGCTGAAGAGCCAGAGGGGGTTCTCTTCATTCCAAGGCCTCAGCCCATCCCCACAACCAGACAGGTCAACTGGGTTGTCCTGCATGGAAGGAAGGGTGGTGGGGGTCCGTGCTCTCGGCCAGGTGTATGTAGCTGACACAGGCAGGCAGGGCTGGGCAGCGGGGAGCAGTCAGGAGTTCCGGGGTGTGGGGAGGTCGATGACTATGGGCGGGTTCACAGGCTGGTAGTTCACAGTGCACACGGATGCATTCACATAGGTAGTCGTCCCGTCCGCCATGACACCATACCCTGGGAGGCAAGCACACACCCGTCAGGCCTGCACCAGAAGCAGTGGTATTGGGCGGGCGGTGGGGGGGGCGCTCAGACACTGTGGCCTGCTACTGAAACCCTCAAGCTCAGTTTCCTCATCTGTAAAATAGAGGTGATAGTGATAAACTCTACTCCCAAGTCGATATGAGGATCAAATGAGGTAATAAACCACATACAGAGCTCAGCCCAGTGCCTGGCACATGAAAAGCACTCAGTGAGACATCATCATCACAACCATCACCATTACCACCACCACCATCCTCATCATCATCACCATCACCACCACCACCGTCACCACCATCACCATCATCACCACCATCATCACCACCATCACCATCATCACCACCATTACCCTCATTATCACCATCAACATCACCATCCTCACCATCCTCACCACCATCCTCACCACCATCGCCACCATCATCACCACCACCATCACCATCACCACCATCACCATCACCACCATCATTATCACCACCCTCATTACCACCATCACCATCACCGCCATCATCACCATCACTATAATCACCACTATCCTCATCGTTATCTCATCACGGTCATCACCATGATCTTTATCACTATCATCCTCCTCCTCCTCCTCATCATCGTCATCATCATCATCATCATCCTCATCATCACAATCACTATGATCACTGTCACCATCATCACCGTCACCATAATCATGACTATCACCCTCGTCATCACCATCATCACCATCATCACCATCACTGTCATCTTCATCACTATAATCATCATCATCGTCCTCACTGTCATATACTTATTCCTCTAACCTCTGCCCTCAGCAGTCCCTCTTCCCACAATGTCTACTTGCCAGAATCCTCCTCCTCCTTCAGCTCACATCCCCTCCAAACCAGCAGAGCCATTTCCCTCCCCATTCTGTGGAGCCCCAATCTATGCCTGGATAAGCACAAGGGTTGGGGTTTAGGTCACGAGCCACCATGGATCTGATGCACTGCACACCCATAGTAGGGCTGCAGGGAACAGTCTGCTGCCCCGAAAGTCTTCAAGCTCCTCTGGGGTCAGGAGAGGTCTGACCACTCCTGCCGCCGTGACCACACCCTGAAGAGGCCCTTGGGGAAAGGGCGTGAGGCCTAACCGCTTCCGCACTGGGAAACGATGTGATATGGATGAGGCCTGTGGGGAGGTCCAGGAACCCTGGCACCATTTTAGGTGGGGGCTCAGGAGGCTGGGAGACATCATCCATGTCCCAGAGGAGCCCATGTCTTCCTGGGAGGGCGGGATGGGACAGACAGGGAAGCTTTGGACAAACAGACTTAAGATTGGAAAGGAGTGAAAAGAGGCATCTATTCCCAACTGGGGCCAAACCAGGCTCCAGCCAGGTGATGGATGAGGGTGCTAAAGGTTAGTAAGGAGCGCCCGTATGCAACGATGGGCCCGGGGTGGAGTGTGAGCTGTCAGGATGGTCACCGTCACTGCTGCCCCGCCCACTGCCCTGCAATCTGCAGCGGACACCCCCTGACACACACACACACACACACACACATACCGATGTGCTCAGGGCAAGTGGCTCCTGCCCTCCAGGACAGAGCCAGAACGCCATGTCTGTACATCTAGTGGGCAGTGGGGAAGGAGGAGTTATCCAGGTCACTAGGGCCTCTCGGGCAGGCTGCCAGTTCCTCCACATTTATTGAGCACCTACTGTATGCCAGGCCTGGGGGATGTAAACCAAAAGCCAGGGCCACACCCTCGAGGAGCTCATGGTACAACGACCAAGTCCAGCATCCTCCAGCCCGCAGCTCAGGTGTCCCCTCCTCCAGAAGTCCCTGCCCACCCTCCTCCAGGACATCCCTGCCCACCTCCCGAAGACGACCAAGGCTGGAGACACGACGCGGTTACAGAGGCCAGAGGCAGCAATGCCGCCTCCCTAAGGTTCACCAGATTTCACGCTCGTCTTTCTATGATTAAACATTTTAGTAACAACTCAGTGATAGCCAACACGTGCATGAGGCGCTTACGAGGTGAACATTAGTAATGGGCTATCTCCTTTCTGGCTGGAGAGATCGGGGAGGGGGTGACCGGGTTTCAGGGAGCCCTGCGTGTGAGGCCCACGCCCACCCCCAGGCTGACCTTCGTGGATGTGGCCAAAGACGTGTAGCCGCGGCTGGACGCGCCTCTGCACCGTGTTGAGCAGCTCCACGCAGCCCACTCGCTGCATCTTCTTGGGGACCCAGTCCAGGAAGCCTGCACAGGGGACACAACATGAGGAGGGGCGGGGGTCCGGGAAGGCCCAGCCCCCACAGCCCAGGAGGCAGCTTTGGCAGCCGAGGAGAAACACAGCGGGCCTTGGACTCCCAGGCCTGGTGCAGCGCCCATCCTCCAGCCGGCTCTCTACCACCCTGCCCTGCATCAGCCTTCGGGGATGGAACCCTGGCTCTGCCCCATACCTGCGGGGGCCTCCCGCCCTGCAGCCTCACCCTCTTCCTCCGCAGGGCAGTGACAGCCACCAAAGGTCACCGTAAGAGCGCAGCACGGGATGAGCACCAGGGCGGGGGGGCAGGAGAGCTCAGTCTGTTAGCCTCCCAGACCATTCATGCTCCAAGTGGCCTCGAGGATGCTATGCACCCGTTGCAGAGTTAAGCAAACAGAGGCCAGAGAGGAAGAGTCTGGCCCAGGGGCACTCTAGCAGCTGGCAGCGGAGCACAGCCCAGCACACTCCATCGACCATGGAGCAGAGAAGAATGGGTTCCGTGTCGGGAGCTTTCTGAACACACACCCCAAGATCAGGAGATGAACGTCTCATCCAATGCAGCACGGCTCCCACGGCCGCATCTGCGTCTGCTCGCGCCACCAGCCTCCAGAGCCGCCTCAGATGGCGGCTGCTCATTATCCGCACATGGCTACACAGACTAAGAACAATTGATCACTCCAAGCGAACAATTAGAGTTCACTGCGGCTCCTTTCTGTTTGGGTGGGTGAACAGATGCCTTTGACTGCTGCAAAGGGGAAGGGGGACCCTTCGGCACAGAGAATGAGGCAGGCTGCAATCCACACAGCTAAAGAAGGAAAATGGTAGAGAGAGAGAGAAGGGAGGGAAATGGGCAGAGCTCGGCGGGGGCAGGGGGGTTAAGTCTCAGGCTCTGTGACTTACTGGCTGTGTGATCTTGGACAAGTCACTTCACCTCTCTGTGCCTCTGTTTTCTCTACCACTCATTCAACAATCAGAGGTGCTGGCTGGGCACTGGGGGCCTACTCTGCATGAGGCTCGGCCCCCTTCTCAGTTGGCAGCGTATGCTTTGGGTGGGGTCCCCGGCTCTTCGGCCACCCTGGCATTTACAGTGTGGAGAGGAAGTGCGAGCCCACGCGTGCTGGGCATCCCCTGAACGGGAGTGTACGCTGTACGCAAAGCGGCCAGGGTGGGCCGTCCACAGAGCAGGGACCCAAAGGATGCTGCGATTGGATGGCTTGATAGATGGATGAAAGGACGGAATGGAGGGAAGAAAAACAGGAAGGAGGGAGAGAGGGAGGGAGAAGAATAAAGAAAACGGAAAACGGAGGGGAAGGAAAGGCGGGAGGAAGGACGGACGGACGGACCAGGCCGGTGGCGGGGCTGGGACCAGGTGGGGCAGTGGGCAGAGAGGAGGGAGGGGGGGAGGACCTTAAGCCCTAGGGACAGTCGGGATGGGTGCGGGTGAGAGAGCAGGGCCCCTCACTCGGGTTTCGGGCTGGGTGGCGGATGCCCAGGACAGAGCCCTGTGAGAGGGAGACTGGTGGAACTCAGTGCCGAGGACTCACGCCTGGGGCGATAAGAGCCCAGGGCTGCCTTCTGGCCTCTCTGAGTTCATTCACTGCGTGGGAAATGCGTGGATAATTCTGACTTCCCCACATCACCGCAAGGAGCCCACGAGGTAACATATCAACCCGCCAGCACATGGTAGGCCCTCAGCAAATAAGGGTGACAGTGGGGTGACTTGTCCCAGATACCCCACCATATTGGCGTCAGAACAGAGCCTGGCCAGGCTCTTCTCCACAGGCCAGGCTGACCTCTGTTCCCCTCTGTTCACTGGTCCCCCACCCCTGTCCAACACACACACACACACACACACACACACACACACACACACACAGAGGCATACGCATAAGGGCACACGCACGCATACCCCGTGTGCTCCTCCCCACCCCCGCCCTGCAGACTCTTACCCAGCGGTGGTCCGTGGGTTATTAGAATGTCTACACCTTCAGGAATGAGGTTCCATTTCTCCAGAAGGGCTTGGCCTCGTGGGAGGTTAAAGCCCCAGCCATAAAACCAGGGCTGCCTGCGGGTGAAGAGGAGACGGTCAGAGAGCTGCTGAGAGCTCTGGCTTGGACCTAGAAACCCGTATCAAGGTGGAGATTTGCCCAGACTGAGCCCAGAACACTGACCAGCTGTTGGGCTGTGGAGTCTCAGGCGATTCTCACCCCTTTTCTTCTTGCTTACCTGTAGTTTCCATTCTTCTCTGGTGAGTAAGTATTATTGATGGAATAAAAAATGAAAGTTAAAAATACATCAGCTTCTGCCAAAGACCTTTCTTGCTCCAAGCTTTTCTGAGGAAACCTATGGAGGACATTCTCTGCTCCCCTCCCTCCCCCAGAAGAACATTCTCAATCCCAACTTCCTACCTCCCCCAACGGAAGTTCGCCTCCATCCTCCCTCCCACAGTTGGGCAGGTGGGCCTCTGCCAGGAGAGAGTGGGTTCCAGGTGGAGGACGCTCAGACCCTGATCCCACCTGAGCTCCCAGCCAGGGGTCCAGGTAGGGCTGAGCCCACCTCCAGCTCCAAGGGTGGGGCTAGATGGATCTATGCTAACCAGCATGATCCCATCCTGTGACCCAACCCAGACCTAGACTGATCAATGCAAGTCACCTCCCTTGATTGGTTCAATGGTGAGGAAATGCCTTCAATTCTTCCAGCTGGAGGGAATCCCAGACCTTTCTGTCACTGATAAGAAAAGAGGACGCTGTCATCCTTGTGTATAAAACAGTGAGCTTCTAGCCTTGGGAGCTGATAGCAGGTACTGGGCTGCCCCAAGGGAAGCCAGCTGGATCAAACCACACTAGACATTCGTCATACCTCTGCCCTTCTCAGTTATATGGGCCACTAAGTTCCATTGTTAACACCACTTGAATTGGATTTTCTGTCATTTTGCGTCAAAAGCATCCTGACTGAAGCATCAGAATCATCCCTTAGGCTTAAGTCATTATAAGATTCCACATGAGCACAGCCCTTTAGCATTTACGAAGTCACCATCACCACCACCACCATCTTCATCATCACCACCATCATACCATTACCATCACCACTTCCACCACCACCACCACCACCATCATAACATCACCACCACCATCACCATCATCACCACCATCATACCAGTACCATCACCACCAGCATCATCACCAACATCACCATCATACCATTACCATCACCATCACCACCATCACCACCACTGTCATACCATCATCACCACCACCATCACTATCATCACCACCATCACCATA